GACGATATGCCGCAGTCACACCAAAACCTCGGGACTTGGAGCGTTTCTCTGGACTAAAAGCGGGGATATTTTAGAAGGAGCGGGTCCTGTTATCTAATCAGGTGGCTGTGTCACTCTGGGAGCAGTTTGGCGTGTCAGGGGTGAGTGTCCAGACTTCAGCAGCAACTAACTCTTTGCAGCTGAAAACAAAACCAGTATATGGCTCACTACAGCTGTGCCTAGAAACTCCTGTGTTTTTTTTTTGGTTGTGATTTAAAAATCTGACTCTTCTCCAAGCCGGGAGCTGGTTGCGGTAAAACCTTCAAGTCTGGAATGTGAAACATGACTTTGATGTTATTTCGGGGTTTGTCAGTGCGAGGAGTGCGCTGCCAGTGAAAGGGGTGTGCGCTCTTCATGTTTGGGGGGCTTAGACACAACTTTTTGGCAACTTTGAAACCAAAACAAAGATGGAGCTCCTGCTGCGGGCGGAACGTGTTAGAAATGGATGATAGACGCAGCGGTGATTGATTGATGTGTCTAGGAAAAAGTTGAGAACGGCTAGCGTAGTTGCTCTCTTTCTCTTAGCTCTCTGTACTTCGGCGCCCTTTTCTCTTTGCCATTACAATGTCAGTGAAGTTGTATTTCGGGAGCCAAAAGTCACGAGTCAATCGCACATTCTCGGCTGCGGTGTCAGCTTCTATTTCCGAAGTGACAGGGCAAAGGTTTAGGGTATGCGTGTGGTGCGACCACGCTGGTACTCCAAGGAATTCCGGTTATGTTCGCAGGGTACGAGATGGTTGGACGGTCAGCTGCAGCTCTGACAGCATGTTGGTAAACGCTTTAAGCTCGGATGCGGTTTTCATTGACTCAACAGTCGTCACTCTTGAGACTCCTGTCCTCCTCCCTCCTCTGACCTCAACTTCCCTCTGTCCCTGTGCTGGGTCTCGAGTCTTGCATAACCAGGGAGTTTAATCTTTGTCCCTCTTAAGGGGTCTGATGGGTTAAAAAAGCCAGTGTGCCCTCTCACCACTTACTCAGTTAAACAGCTTAACAGAGTGAGGAGACCCCCGCCTCTTGTCCTCCTCCCCTCCACCTTCATCCTCCAGCTCAGACCAGGGGTGCAGATTAGGGATTGCACTGGTTCACACAGACTGCAGGATGGAGGTGAGGCTGTGGCGGTGGGCTGCCGGGCTGGCAGAGCGAAAGGCTGGTGATGCATGTGGAATGACATTCCAGACGCCCAGGCTTGTTGTATAACAGAAGGGGGAATGCAAGGCCGCCGACACAGGGGAGATGTCAGTCAGACGAGCTTCAGGGTTTAATTTGAAAATGAGATACCGGCTCCCTGTCTGAAACCAGCTGAGGTGTCTGATGACAGAATATAAGTCAAACCTGGGAGAGTTTTTTCAGGATCTATTTTTCATGTTTTTGGCTCGTTTCACTTCAGTAACAAAGAACGATGAATAGAGGGACGTTTCAACCTTAACATCGTACTTTGATTGATGTGAGGCTCTAAAATTTGGGTTTGACCAAGTTGGATAGAGCAAAGGTTCACTTTTATCTGTGTAATTTGCTTGTTAATTTGACTCAGAGGCTTTTTTAAGCTTCCAAAGAAAAAAGAAGAAGTTATGTAAACCACGTAATGTGAAGTGTTGCTCAAGATTTTGTGTTGTTTCATTTTCTTCTGGGTCGTTTCTGTCGTACGCATTTCTATACTGTATGTTATGCTTTTAAATGATTCTGTCGAGGGAGTTTTCATTGAAGGTAAAATAAAGGAAAGATAAGGATTTCTCAACACTATGTTGTGCAGCTACACAGCGAGCGTAGAAGCACTTGGCACGGGAAGCACGGCAGCGGTAATCTTTGTTTGGTTCTCTGGTCTGTTACGAAAGAGTTGCATACCTGCTCAAGCGTGTGACACCTTTCTTATCTTTTCGTGTCCTCTTATCTGGTTTTGTAAGTTTATCAGCCAACATACACTGCAGTTCTCAGGAAAGAAACACACAACCTTACATCAACATGTGGACCTGAATTCCTCGGTGCTAAATTATTCATTGCAAGTAGTCTGAGCACAGACTTCAGCATCATTAGCAGAGGTAATAAAAATTAAATATTTGCATGGGTCAAACTTCGCAGTGTGCGCCGTGCGACAGTGTTGATTGCTGCAGAGAGGCCCAGGCTGCAGTCCTTCCAAGCATTGGGTGGGAAAAACAGATGTTTTGTCAAGATATAATATGTTTGTTTCCTAATATACATTACCCATTTGGCAGGTCTTGTACTTTATATTTGCTCAGGACTAGTCATAGAGCAGTGGAGGCTTTAATCTCCAAACAAGACACTTTTGTGTTAGTAAAAAAAACCCTCCCACACGCCCACTCTCCACTTCCAATAATCCGTTCTTTAATATCTCACATTGCCAGTGGCATTTGCCTCCTGCAAAATGGAGGATTGGATTACTAATGTCAGGAATGTAATGGAGGAACACGATTGAACATGTCACTTTTCTGTTTGCATTTGGTGGCCTAACGTGTTTTGTGACGGGTAATGGGCGGAATCACTACTCCCTTCTTACAGAAGAACGAGCCAAGGGAGGCTCAACAGGATCAGAGCCGATACTGACTCCAAACGTCCATAACACCAGATCAAAAGCAGTCATTCGTTCCTCTGAAGCTGCCGTCCAGCTGACAAATCATCTTTTCTGGAAATAAGTTGCAAAAGAATTCCAGCGTTTGTCTTCTTGGGAGGACGTGAGTGAAAATACTGACTAAGCTCTCTGGTCTGTAGCTCTGTTTGGCCCTGTGGTGGAATTCAGGCTTGTGTATGTCAGGGATACAAGCAGAGTTGAGAGCATTAAACAGAGGCTCGGGCAAAGCAAACAGCAACAATCAGCATTAACCCGCTGGCTGCCGTTACCGAACCAGCCTCCAGTGGCCCAGGCCACTCACTCGAGCTGTTTTTGAATTCAGTTTATGCTTCTCAGCAATAGTTAACTGTCTAATAACTTCCATGGAGTTATTCGAATCATAAAGTTGACAAATTGGACAAGCAAAATTGCAGCTCTGGCAGAGAAACAACAGAACGGCTGACAAAAGAGGAAAAACACAAAAAACCTCACAAAGGCTTGTGAAAGGAGGAAGAAAGGAAAAAGCCAAGCCAGCTAAATTGACTGGAAAATAAAAGGCACCACAGACATCATTATTTGCTCTTTGCCAAAGTGGCAGGTAGAGTGTCACCAGCGTTTTGCAGCTGGCTGGTGTTTATTTCCCAGCCTGACCAAGCTGTACCAGAAACATGTAGCCACAAGCCCAGGGCTCCAAAGCATTTAGGCCATGCTGTGCCTGAGGCCGGCTCCTGTCGGGGTGATTGATGAAAGCTGCCACCTCTATAGCCTCAGCGCAGGTAGCCACACACCACTACTCACTGCTCACTTTATCTGTGGGCACTGAGGAGAACTTTCACACCTCGACTTACTCAGTTTGTATCAGTCATACAGTGAAGTTCAAGAGGTATCGACTGAATGTCTCACTAGGAGACACAGTTGAGCCAAAAAAATACCAGTTATACAACACTGAAAGAACATTGGCTGCAACCAGTATTAATTAATCTAAATCCTTTAGAATATGTACATATATTATTTGTGATCTTGTGAAAACCACACATTAAAACTTTCCAGAATCCAAAGCAATGTCCGTAAATTTCTTATTTTAACTGACCAACAGGCCAAAACCGACATGTATTTCATTCCTTCTCATATGTATAATTAGGACAAGCAGCAAATCTTCATGTTTGAAAGGCTGGAACTTGCAATTGCTTCCTGTTTTTGCTTGGAAAAAGCACTGACATGGGTGATCAGAATAGTCAAAGTGGTTGCAGATTAATATTTTTTGAATGACTGCAACTGATTACAGCAGCTCTAAAGAAATAAAATAGAAAATAGATAATTACGTCTTCATTCTTCAATTAGTGAGTAATATAAACAAATACATTTCATTTTGGATTTATTATTCTTTCTATTAATTTCAATAAATAGTTAAAACTGCATGTGAATAGCACAGAGAGACCTTGCCAATGGTGACTAAAACCCAAAGACATTCATGTTACTCTCAGAGAAGAAAAGCTCCATACAGTGGATTTTATACATTTCTGCTTTGAAATTACTTAATTTAAATGATCAATTATCAAATTTATTGATGTTTAATTTTCTGTTGGATCAACTTATCACATCAGTTGTAAGGATCTGGGGGTAAAACAAACTAAAATTGGAATTTCAGCAACCACGCCACCTTTATGTAAATTATAAACGACTCACTTTCTGCTGCATAGACTTATCTCTGAAATCTAAATAATGCAAAACAACACGTTACTGGCACATAAACTCAACAGAGGTCCGTGCTTTTGCAGTCATTTGGGTTTATCTTACAGAACAATTGAAAGATGTGGGTCACATTGTGAATCGATAGATGTTAAAAATAACAAACAAGGAAGTCCTTGTGTCTCTACATCTGGACAAAGACGGCATTCTTCACCAAACCCACAAATCGGGTCTCCTCATGCTCAGAGTTTCCATGGCTGCTCGCCGTCTTTGAGACATTTCAGTCTCTGCTGCTTTTAATATTCCCTGCTTCCCCCCTCATTAAGAGCGAGGCATACTGTATAAATTGTGACGTCGCGAAAGTGGACTTTTCCAGAGGCGGGTGTTTCCCTTCAGAGGGGAGGGGTCACAGCTGAAAGGAGGACCTGTCCATTCAATGCTGCTCTGTTTGACGTTTCATACAGAAATTCCGTAGTGCATATTTAAAATGTTGGAGAAAAATTTACGTATAGACTCGCACAAACATTTACATGATCTTTCAGTTCCTTATAGCTGCCTTTGTGAGAGTCAGAACTCCACAGAAATATGTCAAGGTGCCTTGCTCTTATAGATCATCCTGGAAAAACACCCAAACAGGACTGAACTTAGCTGGCTTTAGATCAACCTTAACTCTTAATTTTTTTTGTTTGTCTTCTTTTCTTTTTCTTAGTTTTGGGAAGCGATCAGCAGGCAGCCTGCGACGCGGATGTGAGTGCATCGTCCTGGAACCCTCAGAGATGATTGTGGTGAGTCCCATTTTTCAGGCTTTTAGCACACCAGTGTCGAAGGCATTATTTCATACATGCACACACACAGACGCACCTCGTAGCACAAAAAAATGGAATAGTAATTATTGTTTTTACAAAGCTTTTCTGTTGTGTAATCAAAAAAAAAAAAAAAAGGAAATAAAAAAAGAGAACGGAGAATTACATTTTGCTACACGTGATATTTTTCTATCACTTATAAACAAAATTATGACATCCATTTTGTGTTTTTGACCTTTCACAGAGTGCCCCTGAGGTCAAACTCTGGTTCTTTTCTATACTAACAAGTTCAAAATTGCACTCTTCGTTCCCTATTTAAAATAAATCCTCTATTCAGGCTTCAATATAAACTGGGATCAAAAAACAAGAGCTTGGCTTCAGTTGTCTTTACTGTTAGAAGAAAGAAAACTTATGTTTATTGATTTTGCAATTTCATCATCTATTAAAAACCCTTATGGATCACCAAAACGATGATACCCACAATAGAGTGTTGCTGTAATTTGAAATAACATCCTTGGGAGCTGATGATGTTTTGTATTAATCATGTAAGTGCCCATTTTTGACATTTTCAATAGCATTTGTGCACAGCTGTAATAAACTAGGCTTTTGCTGATGCAATATGGGCTATACATGAGTCAAAGAGTGGTCGGGGCTCTTGTGCAGCTTTATGGTAAACCAAATGTTGGCTAAAAGTAAAAATTGTTGAACGCAAATCATTCCCATCTGGCACAGAAGCTGAAGTAGCAGCACAGTACAGTCATCTGTTGAGCAGAGGCCCTCAGAGGCCCGCACGCCACAACAGATGCAGTTCTGCAGTGGGTCACAATATACCACTGTTGAAGCAAAGATGATACATTTAAACAGCTGTACGCTTGCTGCAACCTCAGGTCTGTATATTTGATGACACACTACATCAGATGGGTTGACCTTGAACATTACAGGCTAAAATGTGACTCAACATGAGGTCTGAAAAATTGAATTGCAACTCTGCTGGAGTTTTGACCGAAGAATGTTTTGGCAAAAATTGATTCTGGCATAAACCACAGGGTTATATAGAGCTGCAACTATTTTATGATGCAGATAAGACTCAGATTAATGTCACACAAGACAGAGAAGAGCAGATATTTCCAAAACTTTTTAGATTTTTTTTCTTGTCAGTAGAGTAATGAGTTAATTGGAGTAATTATTCCGATTGTATGAATAAATACTGACACTGTTCCTTCCAGCTAAAACGTAATATGTTATTTTTAATGAACATGCAATGCCTTCAGTCAGTTAACTTTATCCACACTTAGCACCATCTTAGGTTGAGAAGAACCCTAACAGACATATAGTACACCATATGTGGAGAAGCTCTGTTTGTGCTCATGGTTAAGTAAACACAACCTGCTACTGATTTGCCTTGAATGAGGTATGTAGGAATGATAAAGAAGCAATGCAAACTGGGAAAACCGACCACTGGGCACACATGAAGAACATAATAAGTATAATTAGCATGCAGTTGTTGACCAGTTGTAGTCAGCAGTGGGTGGAGGGGCAGAAAACAAAGCTGTGCAAATATTTTTCCTGTCATTTACTTTAGTCACTCAACCTGCCTACGCTGCGGCAAATGAAGCCAATGTGGTTCGACGTTTTGGTTGGACATGAGGCATTTGTCCAGCACTAAAATGCCAATGTTGATTTGGTTTCTAGAACTGGATTCGGCCACCTTAACATCACACGTGTACAAACACACAGCCTCCGCCACCATTTCTATCACGTACAAATCGGCCCTATTGTCTTCTTATTTTAACGCGAGACATCAACTGTAACCCAGATCGTCTCAGTATAAAATAACAGCTGTTTGGCTCGGCTGCAGTCACAGTACATCTCCTTTTCAGTTGCTGTAATTGCTATGTCTCCGTGAGTGTGTGCTGTAGATGAGGGGCCTCTGTTAACCAAACCCCTATCAGATCCACACATACCCCTCAATAATACCACCCTTCTCTTCTGCTCGCTGCAGACACTCTGTGGCCTTACCCCATTTGCTATTATTGGTGCTAACCTATAATTACCAAGCAGAGTTTTGTGCTGCTGGAAGACCAATACATGCGACAAGTTTATAGTACACACACGCAAAGATTCACACATGCACGAACACGTCTGAAATGGAAGTTACTCACGTGTCCGTACTGTACACACACACACACACATGCAGGTTCACATTGCTGCGAGATTTGCAATTAGACACACAATCACACTTATGCTCTCACTCATACACAGCTCCGCCGCCGTTGTCATGGCAGCAGTTGGTAAGGCAGAGAGAGATTTTAGTGGTGTAATCCCAAAGGCTGAGCGCTGTGAAATGTGAAGCCACAGTGAAAGTAGTAAGCGAACGGAGAGGAGGAATGGGCCCCTGAAACAGAAAGGAAAAAAAAAAAAACTCAAATATGTCATTCCATCATGACCCAAAGTCGCCTGGCAGCAGCATGGTAGCATTTAAGTAGTGTTTAACTAGAAAAATCGTACAAGACTGGTAGAATATGACTTCAATGATGCTACGTTAAAGAGGCATCCTGTGCCAGTTTCCACATAGAAAATGTTTTTCCCTTCCTCCCAGTTCATTAAAAATGGAAACATGGATTTTATCTTGTGTTAACATGTAATTTCATTGTGGTTAATATGTTTAACAGAGACAGTTAAGTATCTCTGTTTCTGCATTTACCCTGTACTCCGGCAGGCTCCATCTCTGTTTATCGCTGCCTGTCAGTCCGTTTTCTCCCCATCGCTCGTTTCTCTCTCTAGCTCACTCCTTCCATCTAAATTCCTCGCTCAGCCCTCTGATTCTTTCTCTCTGCCTCTCTTCTTGTGTTGTGAGCACCCTTTGACGTAGGTGTGCATCAAGCAGCCCACACACACTTCTATTTTTACGCAATAAGAGGGGTGGGAGGCGGGGAGGAGGAGGAGGAGGATTTTTTTTTTTTTTTTTGAGGGGGGTGGTGGGGTGTGAATGAAGACGAAGCCCGTCACTCCCCTTCTCTCTGCCTCCCTCCCTTTCCTATCATTTCCAGGTGGACTATATGGATGAAAATGAGGAGTACTTTCAGCGGCAAGCCTCGCACAGACAGTCCCGGCGGCGCTTTCGGAAGATCAACCAGAAAGGGGAGAGGCAGACAATCATCGACACCGTGGATCCGTACCCCACCGGAAAGCCGCCCATAGCCCGGGGATACCACACGGTGAGTTGCACCCGGCGCTATAGTTTTGTGTTTACCCTCGCTGTGGGGCATCGCTGTGTGCTCCAGAGGCGGCTCAGCGTTGCTCCGTTGCCATGTTGCGCTCTTGTTTGTGTGTCGAGCTTCTTCTTCCGAGTCTGTTGTTCGTTCCCGCTTCGAGTCGCAGCAGAAAATTTGTGTTCCCTGTTACATGGAGTTTGTGTTTTGTGTCTCTTTGGTGGCCTTAGCTGACCCTTGGTTGTAGGTTGTTGCACTGTGATGTCTTGTTTTCTGGGGAAACACAAGGTGCGCTTTGAGCCTGTTGTCCTAACCCCCCCGTAGTGTTTAATTGTTGTTTTACCCTTCCTTGCTAGCACAGAGTTGCTACACTTTTGTGCAATGTTTATAGCTCCTGCTGACTTATGTGTGTGTGTGTGTGTGTTTTTCCATCCTCTCTTTAATAAATGTTTTTGTACTTAGTTGAGCATCTGGGTTTGTCTGTGCTGTACCTGCTGCCTACTTGAAACCTTGTTTGTCTGCACTTTTGTTTCTTGCACTCCAGAGACACATGCAAGATATTCTGAAGCAAAATTTGAGTGTACATCCGCATTGAAAGCCAAATGTTTCAACCTTTTGCTTTGCAGGTACAATGTGCCATTTAAAGCCAACTGCATGAATAAGTGCTGCTGTTTGTTGACCAAGTCATTTTCATAGACCGTTGTTAGATAAGTGCCTCTCATTGGGTGTTTGTAGCACTGGGTGCTGCTGTCGCCCCTGGATGATATAGAAACAAGTTGAACCAGTTAACAAGGGAGAAGTTCTTTAATAACGAGCTGCTTCTTAAACCAGTTTTACAAAGTGTGTTTATATGTTTTTAGTGTCAGTTTGGGCTGAAGAAGTTTGAAAGTGAAATCTGGGGGTGTGCAGTTAGAGAACTGTGAGATTACCAGACCTCTGTGACTCACTCCTCGTTACCGCTCGAGGATATCGGCTCAAGACTGCCCGAATCTCTGACCGGACTTTCGAAGGTCGCGCTGCAGTGTGGATAATGCAGGTGCCACCTTTTGACAGGGAAACAGACAAAACAAGACAATATCTCAGGTTCAGGTGCACTGACTTATATCTTAAAGGAGAGCTAGCGATGTTAAATTGTTCCAAAATGATCCTGGCATTTTAAATGTTGTTTTCAAGAAAATATTATTCAACATTTTTAGCATAATCTTTGATATTTTTTGACAATTCTGCAGCACATTTCATGAGAGCAGCAGTTGATATTTACAACATTTTCTCATTGTTAGATGTAGAGCTGTGCAGGGAGGGAGAATGAAGGAAGAGGAGAGTTTGGGAAAAGGAAAATGTTGTTCTTGGGAGAGAGGGTCAGATGGTGTCTCCTTTCATGAGTCTTACAGCTGTTCTATTCTTGTATACTCTCATTTACATACTCAACAGTAGGGCTGGTGTTGATGGATTTTTTTTTCTTTTTATCACCAGCGCTAAATGATTTATATTTGATACATTTCTTAGACAATACAATGCTTCTCTTGATTTAATGCTGCATGTCAGAGCCCAGACAAACAGGCAAACTGCAGATTTCAGAATAATAAAGATGATGCATAGAATGAAAAATTATAAAGGAAACTGTTGTGTGCTCCTCTGACTTTTTAAAGTCTGATCCAATTACAGTGGTGTATAAAGTGTCGACCTTACCCATGTGTGGCGATTCAACTCCAGAGCAGAGAGCTAGCTGCCCGTTGTGCTGCACCAGACCTTCTCCCCTTTGCGCCTTCTTTGCCTGGGAATAGGAAGCAAAGCATTTTCACACTAATGATGCAAATACCCAGCATGCATTTGTTACACACAGTTTTTTTTTTTTCTCCCCCTGTTCTGCACAATTTCACTGCATTCCCTTCATTCCTGACGCTCCCTTGGGTGTTCTGTCAGTGTACCCGGTTTCTCTTGGAACACTGTGAAACAATCGCACTTAAAATGGGAAAATGCAGCGAGCGTCATCTTCCTCCCGCCTCCATCCAGCCCCACCCTGTTTCCCAAAATAGACACACTGTGTTTTTGATTCAAAAGACTGCACTGAACTTTCTCATGGCCCGACATCTCCTGTCACACACTCAACTCTCCTCGCTCTGGTACCGCTCCTGTGGGAAGGATGGAGCGGGCGCCATGGCAACCAGCAGTCCCAAATGGGCTCTGCTCGAGTGCACTTAGAAGTACAGTAGGGAAGGGAGCTAACTTAACAAGAGTGCAGTACACTACTGCTGCTGCTGCTGCCGCCGCCGCTGCTGCTGCTGCTGCTGCTGACAGAGGGGTGGAGGGGAGCAGAGTGACAGAGAAGCTGAATCTGGGCGGATGCTAAGCTGACATAGCAAGCTAATCTCCAGCATTTAGAATGCCAGACACCGCTCAGATTTTCTTCTCTCCTTCCCCGAGGCATATTTAGAAGGTAAGAAATGCAGCAAGGAGAAACTTTGAATTGAAGAAAGGAAATCTTTTCAGCCGGCAAGGTTTTTAATTCATCTTAGTCACTGCTATAAAGGCAAATGTGAGGACAGGTACGAAAGCATGCCCGGGTTTGCTGATCTGAGGGCTTCAAAGCTGTTCTAATGTGAGGAATACTGCAGACAAAAGAGATTGTTGTAGGGCTGAGATGATAATTGTCATAGTTGATGAATCTATTTAGTTACTTTTTGATAGTTTTGTTTCTAAATTGTCCGATGACAGTGAATCATGTCCGTCTGAACTTCCCAGAGCTTCAGCTGATGTGAAGACTTGTTTGTCTTACCAGAAAACTCAAATATATTCATTTCACAAAGACCTTAAGCAGAAAAAGGCATCAAATCCTCACATTTGAGAAGCTGGAAGTGCTCATTTTGCAGGATGTTTGACATGTCAAAATAGTTTATATCAAACAGTTAGTCTACTAATCCAAAGCTGTAATGATTAGTGGAGCACCCAATAGAAAAAAAGGCGATTATGAATGATTCATTTAAGCCAATTTTTATGCAAAAGTGCGAAACGTTCCTTAGTCATAGGTTCATCAGATAGATAGAAAGATAGATACTAGTGCAGTTCTTGTAAATGTTATCGGGTTATGGGCTGGTTGAGAAATCAAAAATTATATATTTCTGATTTATTGATTTTTTTTTTGAAGGTTTATAAACCAGGAGTAATACAATAATTAAGTAAAATATTGAAAATCATCGTGTTTTTCAGCCCTAGACTGATTATTTTGTTTACATAGTTTTTTGTTTTGGGGTCACACTTCAAATGCACTAAAACGTCTTTTATCTCTTAGTATACAGTATATTATATATATTATCTGTCCTACAATGCTGGAATACGTTATTAGTTTTCCTACATGCAAAAATTATCTGTCAAATGTTATTTCTGCTCTGATCGTGTAGTTGTCGCTAGAAGGCAGAAGTTATTGGGAGCACTACTTTCAGCCATTTGACAGCGGGCTTATCTCACACTCATTTATTTGTTTTGTACAGAGTGACTGTCCTCCTTTTAAAACTTAATGGTTAAGCTCTATTATGGTTCCTCAACGAGCATGACGGGATGTCCTGTACCATTGCCAGCCACCATCCTTGGTGCAGCATTAAATCCTGAAATAGCTAATGCTTTGCTTTGCCAGCAGCAGCAGTGGCCTTCATTGTTAGTGAGAGATTGTTCTGTAACTCCGAGGTCACCGAGTGTCTGCAAACAGCTGTGTGAGCTTCTCTTGTCCCTGAGCAACACAGCGAACGTGTCCAGTCATTGTAAGTTACTCCTGAGAGTGGCAGCTTAATAGCTAAAGTATAAAAAGTAATGCTAACCCAGTACTGAAACTCCCAGTGGGAGCGCTGACACACACACACACACATGCACGTACACACACACTCTCCACAATCTGAAGCAGACCTATTATGTATATTAAGTGAATATTATTTGGCTGTTATGATTCAAACATCATGCATTTATTCTTGGACAAGTAAATGCAGACACTATTGAAATGAATGGCTTTATTTGAACCTATTACTATCACTTGGAGGACCTAGGTGGAATTAATCGTACATGTACTGCTCCATTAGGTGATGAAGTTTGAAACCAGTCAGTGATTTTATTTAAGTAAACCACTTTTTATAGAATTAAAAAAAGCAGCTTACTCCTGAATTAGAAAGAACTATTGTAATAACACACACTGTGCTTTAAAAAACAGAGATTAAGGAGGGCAGTGGAATTATGTGTTTGTTTTTTTTGTAATCCTTCTAGAACCGCCAGCAGTTTCAAGCACTGTTAGATCATTGATCACTTGCGTGGCTGTTTCAGAGCTCGGCATGAAGTGTTGTCATCTTTGTGATGGATATGAGTCATCGGAGGACATGAAGGGTTTGTTTAAAATGAACCTTTGAAGTAATATAATCCACGAGTTGCCATTTCTCTTTCATTGATTATATTATCATGCGTTATAAAAGGATGTTTTGTTGCCCCAACCAATTGAGAGTGATTTGTCCGGTTGACGTAATTTACAGGTGACGCAGAAGCTGGTCCGGGCTTGCGGTTTGGGGAAGTTGATCAAGGAAATGTGTGGGTTTAGGCTTCGTCATATCTGTTCCCTGTACATCAGTGTCAGTCTCATCCACTGTCGCTGTCAGTTTCATGCACCGTTTTCCTGCCTCTGATGCAGGAGGATGAAATCCGTTCTTAATCCCACCTGCAAAGCTTTGATTGACTCAGCTGTTTTTGCAACAAGTAATGTGATATTTGATGGTATAGACTGGAATGATTCCTACTATGAGAAGTTGCGAGTATTCACACTGTGAAACTGCTTGTATTGTTACAGGCTAATTGTTTTGATATTAGGTTACAATTGGAGTTGTTTGAGTTAAAGCGGGAGTTGACTTTTTTGGCATCATTGGCTAAAGATTCTATAATAACCTTTTAGCAGAATGTAATTTAGGTGATCTGAGAGAAAACAAGACTCTATACCTCGTCTTGGTTCACGTCTTAGAGTTTAGAAAATCTACCCAGTGACAGGAGATTTTAGCCAATCACAGGTCTTTTCATCCAGAGCAGGTAAGAATGAATGAAGAGCAGCAAAGTCTGTGGTTAAAGTAGGCTGGGGTGAGACAGTCGAGTGCGGAGTTTGAATCCTGTGTGAAGTCACAAATGAATGTTTTCTTTAAGCGTGGCTGTCTCTGTGCAGTTGAAATGCATATTCGTCTGGTGGGAGGGGCTTAGAACAGGAATCAAGTGCAATAATATGTGTATATTTTCCAAATCTGCCTGAATGTCTGCAACCCCTGCTTTAAGTGCGAGATTTTGGAGCTATCAGAAAAATCTGACTTTCTAATTTACAGTTACATCTAAAAGTTGAACAAGGGGAAAGCTGTTAATAACAAAAAAATACAACATGAAATGAATGTGACATGTTTGAACTTCTGAGTGGGCAGCATTTAAAGTTGGGCACACTGTCGAGTAAATTGTCTTTTTTTGACCAGTGCAGGTAGCAGTGCATTACAGAGATGCAGGCTTCCTGTGTTCGCGTGCATTAGTGTTGCTGCTTCCTCCAGGAAAAGAAATGTACTGACCTTTGCAATATTTTGAAGGTGAAAGACGGCAGTCTGGGTTTTACTTCTAACACGCTGCTCTGATTTATTGTCAGAGTCACTGGCCACACCTATTTTTTTCTCCTTGTTGGGTAACACTGAAAGCTTTTGATTTAAGGCCTTATGTAAGTCATTCCTCTGTTTCACCTCTATTTCACTATGAGCAAAGTTTTTTTTTCTTCATACATCTAAAGGAGGTCATGCGCTTGGTATGGAAAATGTTACGCAACATGCAGTCAGTGCTCTCACCTAAACTACCTAGGAAGGAACATATCAGGTAATTTATAGTTTGTCCTCATTAGCAACAAAGCTTAGAAGATAGCGATATAAACATGCATTTTGTTTCCGTAGATAAATCAGGGCAGTGAAAGAGAGCAGTGTTTAGGATTCAACACACGCCTCCTGTGTGCTCGGAGCAGTGAGTTGACACTTGTGTGCCTTGTTCAGAATAGACTGCCACACACACACACACGCACACGCACACGAACACACACACACACACGCACACACACACACACACACACACACACACGCACACACTTGATCCTTCTATATTCTCCCTCGCTAAAGGTTCATAATCTCCATTTCTCAGTTGCTCTCCATTTTGCACTTTATCTCACACATGCTATCTCTTCCTGTAATATCAGCAGCCACATGCACACGCAGATTTTCCCTCTGATCTCTCACTCAGCCTCTCACTTAAGGTCTTTGTGCAGATCCTGTCTGTCACTCACTCTGAAATGAAATGTCGACGCGGCTGCAGTCGAGGCCCGACGTTTACTGAACGCCACACCGCCGATTTTATCCAATGCAAATTTTTAACAATTTCCTGCCCTTTTAGCCACTCTCCGGCCTTCTCTATGAACTCCTCCTCAGCCCTCTTTAGACACCCGAAACTCTCTGAGCAGATGAGTGATATTTCTCCTCTGGGTTTTGTCAGTGGCCAGCAGGACATCCAAGGCCCCAAACAGATGTTCTATAATTATACAAGCAGCGGGAGGCAGGCAATCAATACTCCTTTTACTCTTTTCCTCCACCCAGGCAGCCTGGTGGTTAGTGGGGCCGAGCTGTAATCAGAAGGTCACAGGTTTAATCCCAAACAGCCAATGTGTCCATCAGCAGTCGTGTACTCTGTTGGAGTGTCCTTGGCAATGACATTGCTCACTCATCTACCGACGACGTGTTGATTGCTTTAATATATACATGGACGGGCAGATGCAGATGAGGATGTTGTCAGTTTCTTTGAGAAGTATTGATATTTGAGGACTCTTGAAATAAAATTGATGTACATATATTAGAGTTTGCCATTGGTCTCGAAAAATCAGTTTCCATCACATCTCACAGAGTTGAAGTGCATGTGGTTGCTTTGATGTACAGCTTCACTTTGGCATGAACTTCAACCTCCTTTTACTGAATGTAGCTGTCAGAAGTGCCGATTTGTGGATGTTTCAAAAAATTTTAGAAGTGCTTTTATTTGCTTTCGGACATTGACGTCGCTCTCTTGTCTGTACAGCACTTCTACTCAGCTCAGTTGTTTGTTAGCTTAGCATAGCATAAGCAGTGGAAACAGGGGCTTGCACTGTCCAAAGGTAGCAAATCTGCCTACCAGCACTTCTAACACGTACTGCTTGTAATGTTATAGCTTCTTTGTTTAATCCTCAGAATAACCCGAGTGTAAAAACAACAATATGTGGATTGGTGGGACCAGGCTACCTGTTATCCCTGGTTGCAGTCATTAGCACTAAGCTAATCTAATCCAAGAATTCTGCTGTACGTTCATATTAAGTAAACAGAAATGAGCATTGTGTCAGTCTCCTGTAGCGCTGTAAAAAAAAAAA